CTTCTATTGAAGTTACTAGGACATTATATTTACGTTACTAGGACATCATATTACGTTACTAGACACTCTGATTCTCGGACACGAACATGAAATGAATACACTTCCCACGTAAGTAACTCATCCCATGGAAAGCTCTGACAAAAACTCACGTGACCTAGGGGAGGCCTAGCAGGTGGTCCTGGGTTGTCTCTATGGGAGACTGCTTAGCTGGGCGCCGGAGGGAAGTCTCGGTCCTGACCGGAGGCGACTGCCCCGGTCCTCTCTGACTCCTCTCGAGCGGGCCTGGTGGTGTAGTAGCTGGCCCTTCCTCCTTACAAGACACACTCTCTCTCTCTGTCTCTCTCTCTGGTGGGAGGGAGGACTAGGACGTCCTATATATTGGGAGGCGAGCCGTCAGGTTGAGCTGATCGGGGGGGCGGCGAAGGATCTCCTTACATTTGCCCTCGCTAATGTAGGGTCAGGTCTGGACTTTTTCAGAGACTCTCAGTTGTATCTTCTGGGAAAGTCATCAGATGGGGCCGTGACATGAGAGGTGAGACTGGCTGATTTATAACCCTTGGTCAGCCGTGAGAGTTACCCTACACTTCACCTCCCTAATGTCGGGTCAAGCCTGGACTTCTTCAGCAATGTAGGTTATTGTATATTGGGAGAGAGTCGGCTGGTGCCTTCTTACATGTTTGTTGTGGTGCCGTGTCACATGGGAGGGGAGCCTGGCTGATTTATAACCCTTGGTCAACCGTGAGAGTTACCCTACACTTGACCCCCCTAATGTCGGGTCAAGACTGGCCTTCCTCTGCGGTGTAGGATATTGTGTATATTGGGAGCGAGTCGGCTGGTGCCTTCTTACATGTTTGTTGGCCGTGTGACATGGGAAGGGGAGCTAGTTGATTTGTAACACCCTTGAGCACCCACGGGGGATACCCTTACACTTGACCCCCCTAATGTCGGGTCAAGTCTGGCTTTCCTTGCGATGTAAGCTGTGGTCTGACAACCCATCACTACAGTAAAGGAGGAACACTACTCCTGCTGCAGTGAACTAGGAGGGAAGTATTTGTGGCATTTCACTCCAGAGAAAGATGACATCAGGAAACCAGCTGAGATAGTGGCAGATAACATTGTGAACTGGCTCAGAGAGAGGAACGTAGACCAGACCCTGCAGGCCATTGGAGGGGACAGCACCAACACGAACACAGGGTGGCAAGGGGGGTCATACAGTGGATAGAGCGGAAGATTGGGAGGAAGCTGGTCTGGATTGTTTGTGACCTCCACACCAACGAGTTGCCACTCAGACATCTGATCCAGGAGCTGGATGGCAAGACTCTTTCAAACAACAGATGGTCTGGTCCTCTTGGCAAGATGCTGGACTCTGCCACTGAGTTAGAAATAAATCCGAGCTTTGAAAAAATCACAGTTGGTCCTCCACTCGTTGAGCTTGCACATACTGTCATTGACGACCTGAGTACTGACCAGTACTATGGTTACATGATTTGCAGTGCCATCAAAACTGGGGTCATGCCTGATAGACTTGCTTATCTGCAGATAGGTCCAGTCTCACATTCTAGGTGGCTCACAAAGGCTCTCAGGTTCTGCAGAATTTGGGTCGCTCATCATAAACTGAAAGGGAACCAGCTTCACAACCTGAGACTTATTGTCCAATTCATCGTGAGTGTCTACTTGCCAAATTGGTTCAACACCAAGGTCAAGTCATCATTCTCCGAAGGTCCGAGGCATGTTCTCTTCCAGCTTGAGCTCCTGAGGAGTCAGCCAAGGAAGGTTGTTCAGATTGTGGAGCAGACTGTGAGGAGATCTTCCTGGTATGCTCATCCCGAGGCAGTTCTGCAGACAATGCTCTGCAGTAAGGATGAGGAGGAGAGAAGAGTGGCAGTCAAAAAGATCTTGGATATGAGACTTATGAGAGGATCTGGGCATGACGAATCAGTTGGTGACGATTCCTTCAGGGTCAGGAAGACTCCTGAAGTCAATCTAGGTGCCAAGACCCTCACTGATCTCATAGATCTGGATTACATCCAGGCTGGCAGTGAGCCCCCTCTTACCTGCAGCCTCTCACCAATGTTCAAGTCAGAGCTTTCCTGGACAACCCCATGCATGTCCCTGCCTGGCCCTCGCACACCCAGAGTATAGAGCGTTGTGTACAGCAAGTGAGCGAGGCCAGCAGTCACGTGTACAGCCAGGAGAGGAGGGAAGGCTACATCCGAGCTCAGGTGGTCAGCAGGGAGGTGATGAGTAGAAACAGAAGCAAGAAAGACATGTTCTCTATGGTGTGCAGCAACACCGGGTCGTAGTAGTAAAACCGGTTTTGTATTTGATGATTTTGTTTTCTAAAGGAATATTAAATTTAATAAATGTGTCAAGATCATTCGTTTCACTATTCTGGATCATTTTCATCCTAATAAATTAACCTGATACATTTACTTTACTTTAAATAAGCTATTTAGTGGTGTTGGTAAAAGGGTGGGAATACTGAATTTTCATAAGATTTCAAGTTAAAATTTACCTAGCAAAAAATGAAAACTTTTCAAATCTGAAGATATCACATGATTCTGCACATAGAACTACATCATTAATACCATGGGCCGATTTTTCAAACTCCAAAAAAAAAAATTCGCCTCCGTATTACACACCCTACTACTAGATGGCCGCCATCAGATCGCTGGTAGATTACAGTGCTCCAGCACTCATTGGACTGAGAGAAGACCAGATAGCTAAGGTAGAAGTTATCCAAAATAATGCTTTCAGGAACATGCTTGGAGCACCCACGTGGACCAGAATTTGCAATTTGTAAATGGAAACTGAACTACCACCCCTGGCAGTACGAGTAGATCAGATAAGCCCACAGCTGCCAAAACGCGAATGAGCGCATCCCTCCACCTCGACAATAGAGTGTGAAGGGCCACCTGGTCGTACGAGGCAAGCGAGGTCATCCAACACTTGCAAGCAGAAACACTCGTCAAGAACAACCAAGACATACGAGACAATGGTTACGTAGCTCTTCCACCATGGAGCCCTCCACCAGCCACATTTAAAATTACCTAACTAGGTGATAGCAAAGCCATCCTCCAGAAGGAGGACCTCAAAATAATAACCCTGGAAGCCATAGCCACCGAGACACCGGCTGATGCAGCATCATACTTCACAGACGGCTCGGTGGATCCAAAACATCATACAACCGGAGCGGCCTTCTACACCCAAGGTCAGACCCTCCGATGGAGACTTTCTAATGACTGCTCCACCCTACAAACAGAGTTGGTAGCAATCTCAAAGGCCCTACAACACGCTGCAACACAACACAACAATTCCATCATAATTTACACGTACTCGAAAACGGCCATGCAGGCGCTGCAACACAGCCAACCAAGAGACAACGTCCACATCATAACCTTGATCCTCGCACAGCTACAGGACTTCCAAAAACAAAATAGCCCAGTCGTCTTACACTGGATTCCTAGTCATGTAGGGATCGGGGGAAACGACGTGGCAGACGAAGCAGCCAAGGCTGCCACACGTTCTAGAAGCGTACACATTCAAGTTCCAGCAAGCGTGCAACAGATCAAGAATCACCTCAGAAAGACTACCAAGCTCCACATCCAAAAGAGCTTCCTTCACGCATTCAACGCTGGTTCCCAATCAGCCAAATGGTACCTGGCGGCTACAAAAGGGGAACCACCTTTCGCAGACAAGAAAACACCAAGACAAACCCAAGTTAGCCTTCATCGACTACGACTAGGGTACAAGTGCTCCAGGCAGACGATCGGAAATGTCGTCAGGGAATGCACCTACTGTCAGGAGCCAGCGGCCAACCCACTAGAACACTATCTCCTCGACTGCGAAGTCACACAAAGTCTCCGAAACAGAATTCAAAACTTCCAAAAAGAACACACAACACTAGCGGCCACTCTAACCCGAAAGGCCAAAACAAACCACATTCACCACCTTCTCCGGGTCATCACACGATACCCACCACCCAGATAGCTTAGGAAGTATCCTCCCCCAGCAAGTGCAGACCCCAGTTCGGGGGGCGCGCCACTCCGAAACTGACTACGTCCAAGAGTGGGGGTTGGTGGTAAGCGTTCACTGACCGAGGGTCCGCTCACACTTGCAACCTGCAGTATCCTTTCATACCTGCAGGTAGGACAACCTCCAATCCCAAATCCGGTCTGGCTGCTCCAGGAGCTCCAGCCGGAACCACCAAACGGGCCGCCCACAGGCAAAGGCCCGTGTCGGACTCTGATCCGACAATCTCAACAACAACACAACAACAACACTGCCCTCCGGGCGGCTCTTTCGGTAGGCCACGGTAGGACGCCACCCTCCGGGAGGCTCCACATTGTCTCATTGTAGTGCATTAAGGTGTCTTCTTTGAGCCTGACTTTGTACTCGTCAGAAGGCATGTTTTCCAGGGCATTTTTAAATGACTGTATATACTTGTTGCGCTCCTGCAGCATTTCTTGGATAGATAGGACAATGTCATGTCTGACACCTTGAATGTTGCCACACCTGATAGTAGTCTGCTTTTCATGATCTTCCATGAAGTAGATTCAGAGAGCAAAGGCTATCTTAACATTTGTAACAATTCTCAGATTGTATGAAATATTACCATCTGCCATGAAAAACTCTGGTGCGTGTTTTCAGCGGTTAGTAAATGAAGTACTGTGTGGTATTGAAGCTTGCTCTGTATTTATATATGTATATTATATGTTGTATTTTAAGGAGTAGAAGAATAATTTGTTACTTATCAAAACAGTGTTTAGCAATTTAGATAAAGCTATCCTTGCTGAAAATTTGATGAAGAATTATTTTGTAAAAGGTCAAGTTAAATATTTAAGTTATGTGATAGGTCAAGGAAAGATGAAACTAATGGATACCAAGGATGAGAGTATTGTAAAGTTTCCTAATCCCGAGAGTAGAAAGGAGTTGTTAAGATTTCAGTGGATGACCGGGTATATAGGAAATTATGCAAAAAAAAAAAATCGCACTGTGGCATGGCCTTTGCCCAGACTGTTGTCCATTGTGAGAATGCTTTAACTAAAATTGAGAAAACCTTGATTAATGCCCCAGTTTTTTTAACTCCAAATTATGAAAAACCATTTAAGTTATATGTTGATGCAAGTGAAGTTGGAGTGTGGGCGGTGTAAGAGAGGCAGGGTATTGATCAACCATTATGGTATTTTTCAAAGACATTTTTCTCATACCAGAAGAAGTATGGTACCACTGAGAAGGAAACTCTAGCTTTGATTTTGAGTCCGAACAATTTGGATGTTTATTTGTGGGACTCTGGAACCCCAGATCTAGTGTTTACAGATCGTAATCCTTCAGTATTTTTGCAAAAACTAAAGAATACATATCAGCATCTTACATGCTGGAGTTTAATGTTACAAGATTATAATTTAGTTGTTCAGCATAATAACGGGTAAAGAAAATAATGCAGCAGACATTTTGCCTCGCATTCCACTCAGATATGAGTCAACCTGGGGGATAACTTATGCCTCTTTTGGGAGGGGAATGTTACATATGCCTGTGTATTTTCATTGTATTAAGATGAATGTTTTTATATTCATTTTGTATCAGTCACCATTGTGAGTGTGGTTTTCAATTAAGTAAATACTAAAGCTGTATTTGCTTTCTAGTAATTAGTTTATTTTATGGATTGTATATAAGTGATATTGTTTCTATATAACTTCTTATGTTTTGTAATCGTATAATAATATATACTTACATAGAGAAGCTTTAAATTCTGAACAATCTAATTGTAAAGATGTATTTCTTTTGGCTCTGCCCTCTCTCTTCATCATGGGTACCATAGAATAGATGTAAGATCAGGAAAATGACTTTAATCTTATTCCAACCAGCGTTCATATTGTGTTTTGGCGTTTGTTTACCCATTAGTATTATGAGTGAAGATTTGGTAGGATTTATGTGGATAAATTACTAAATTACACGGGTCAGAGGACCGTGAAGTATTATTGTCTGTTCTCTTGTGTTACTGTAAACACAATTTTTTTTAGAGTAAGTTTGATTAATAGGTCATAGGAATTGAGGCACCTCTGAGAAAAGAGTTATTCAGTAATGGCCAAAATAATATATATGTGTGTGTGTGTGTGTGTATGTGTGTGTATGTGTGTTTATTCTCTACACAGCATCAGTGAGTGAGCGTGTGTGGGTGTACCGGCGGTGTCTGTACTGCAACAACGGGGAGGCGGACGTCCAACTTATCCACCAGTATAATATTACCTCAGCTCCTCAGCCTTATGACAACCTCTTCACAGGTGAGGTATCGTAAATATTCCGCACCTATATTGTGGGATATTTTTCATGTTTTTTTTTATAAAGTCATGTATTAATTATAACACAGGGAGAATATGAACCATATTCCACTCCGGAAACTGCGTATATTAATACATTAAATAGACATTATTTTGATTTATAATTACACAAATTATTTTCCATATTCTTTGTAAATACATCGATTCTTACAAGTACTTTACGTCACCAGAACAAGTGAAAACCTTGAGGGGTCGAAAACTGAGGATCGTGTCAGTGCCTTACTTCCCTTATATGGACTTTGAACGTCGCACCGAGGAGCCCGGCGGCATCATCAACCCAAAGGACTCTATAGATACTCGTTTGATTTATGCCTTTGCGTCAGCACTTAATTTTACGTAAGTGTTTTCGTTTTTTCTTACCATTAAATCTCTTTCTGTGAATAAATTATTATTTATCTTTTATGGAATGTGAAAACATTATCTAATAAAATATTTAAATTAATGTAACAAGGACGAGCTGAGGAATAAGACTGCCTGGAGTTATCGCGGTTTTTGACATACACATGTGCACTCCAAGGGTGTCTTCAAATTATTGTTGTCAACCTTATAAATTTATAGGATATGTTATTTCATACAATAATAATTATAAAATATTTTTTGATGATGAGCTGTAGAGGTAATCAGTAAACACAAAACAGGGGCCTCGGTGCACTCTACGAAGCAATAAATACATGTTCGTCTCTATCTCTTCAACAGTTTCGAGATACGCGAGGAACCTGAACGAACATGGGGCTTGGAGATAAATGGCAGTTTTACCGGGATGATAGGTCAGCTTCAACGTGAGGAGACCGACTTCTGTACCATAGCGGGTCCATCGCCACAGCGCTTGAAAGTTGTGGAGTATTTAAGGGGGTATCCTTCAGATCTGATGACTGTAACGTCTTTGAAGCCCTCGCTGCTACCACAACACCTGTCGCTTATTAGACCATTTGAAGGTATGATCGTTTTGAAGAGCCACTTGGTCCCGCCTTTGAAAATCACTCTTCGGGGATCTAAAATATGCACAAAACAGCACAGCATAGACATACTACAAACGTCTTCTTCACACACACAGATTCCAGAAACAGTAATATACCAAGTTTGTGCCCCTTATATAACCACCTAATAAAGGTTACATAGATGAGAGCAATTCTTAGTAACCATGTGAATGTGATGTTATATTATCCAAATGTAAAATACAATTTCATAATTTTCTACCAGAGTGATTATATTACGATTTTCTTTGTGTCTTTGAATGGTTGTTCGGTGTCGATTGCATTATAAGCATCAAAGAGTTTCGGGACTCATCTACACCATCCAACAGGAGAACTTTGGTTAGCGCTTATGGTGAGCGTGGTGGCGTGGGGTGGGCTTATGTGGATACTGCAGAGGATATGGCGGTGGTTCGCAGGCGGTCGTCGTGTAGATTTCAGCACCACACTCTTGTATGGCTGGGGCGCTCTTCTGGAGCAGCCTCCCCCAGTTCTGTCTGTCAGTAATTCAGGAAGGGTAAGACACATATGAGGTTCTACTGATTCCTTATGTTTCCTGAAGTTAATACATTTTGATAAGCCCTTAATCTTGTTTGAGCTAGTAGCGTAGTGTACCAAGCGTTACGTACATTAATGGTGACTATGTGATTAGTAATTTAAAGTTATACTGAGCTCGTGAGTGTTGGGGTAATGGTGCTTGTCTGGCAATAATCATCTTGCCACAATCGTCATATTATTTACAGCTATTGGTGGGTTGGTGGCTGGTGTTCTGCCTGGTCATCACCACGGGCTTCCGCTCATCACTGGTCGCGCACATGACAGTCCAGGGGAAGACGCTGCCTATTGAGACCTTCGAGGACATGGTGAAACAAGACAACTGGAAGTGGTGTACTGAGCCCTGGCTACTTAAAGGCGTGCCGTTTGATTATTTTTCCAAACACACCGACCCTGTAGTGCAGAAGCTGTACAAGCATATGGAGGTTTGTTCAGACACATTTATTACATATTAACCAACTTGAGTTTCGATAGAGATGATTTACATCAAAAAGACTTTGTGCAAAAACCTTAGCCACACATTCAAGCATACGCCAGCATGCAGCAAAGTCCATTTTTATATTGGTAAGTTTAAAGAGGGAAATTCGTAATGGAGTTATGGAGTTAATCATTGTTAAGAGCTCTTAATGCCATGGACCACAGGTGCTTGTGGCAGACGAAGCCCTGGAGAGGGTACTGGAGGGCGGCTTCACACTAGTGGACTTTGAGAATTATGTTAACATTATCGTGGCCTCTCGCTATACCGACGCCCGTGGCCACAACCCTTTCTACGTCAGTAAGAAAGGCGTCTCCATTATGGCTGCCTTTGGATGGGGCATGAGGTAGGTATCTGGTTCCTTTCTTCTCCTTTTGTGTTTTCTTTCTTTTGTCTTGTCATCTATTTCCTTATTTCCTCTTCTTCTTCCACTTTATGCTGTAGAATTACAAAGAAAGAAATAAGGACAGATAATCGTTTCCAGAGGATTTCATGAGGTTCCACATATTTCCGAGTGTTCTAAGAGTTTCCAAATTTTTCGAAAGGCGACAGATGTTACCTTTGTAAGGTTTGCAAACGTTTCCAAGAGAACCAAAACCCAAACCTAATTTCCTCTTAGCATCATTGGCCAAAGGAAGGCTATAGGTAGAAGGATAAATCGTGGCGAAATTCACCTCCGGGACTATTATAGGGTATTGGCGAGTAGGGTTAAAACCGAGATAAGGAAAGCAAAGAGGAATAATGAGGTAAGGATAGCAAGGGAGGTGAAGACAAACCCCAAAGGATTCTACCAAATGTATCAAACTAAAACACGAGAAAAGATTGGACCAATACGGTCAGACTCCGGCGAGCTCACTGATAACGACGGAGAAATGAGCAATAGTTTGAATAAATATTTTTCAACAGTTTTCACCACCGAAAATTTAAACATGATACCTGAGGCACCGACTCTATTCAGAGATAGTGAAGAAAACAAATTAAGTGAGATAGTAGTGACTAGTAACGATGTTAGTAAGCAAATAGACAAACTAAAGCCTAATAAGTCACCTGGTCCCGATGAGATATTTGCCAGAGTATTAAAGGATTGTAAGGAAGAGCTTAGTATGCCCTTAGCAAAGTTGTTTAACATGTCCTTAAAAACAGGTGTAGTACCAGAATCCTGGAGGATAGCGGTAATGTAATACCGATTTTCAAGAAGGGGACAGATCAAACCAACTACCAATCAGTCTAACATCAATAGTAGGCAAATTACTGGAAGCAATCATTTCAAATTTATTCGAAAATCACCTGGAGAAGCACCGATTGGATCAATGATTCCCAGCATATTTCACAAGCGATCGTTCTTGCCTAACTAATCTATTAACATTCTTTTCATCAGTTTTGAATCAGTGGACGAGGGGCACAATTATGATGCAAGTATCCGATTCTTAGCAAACACAGAGTTCCCCATGAAAGACAATTAGAAAGGTAGAAGCTCATGGCATCAAAGGTGACATCCTTAAATGGATTAGGCGTGGTTACAGGACAGGAAACAAAGGAGTGAGCATTAACGGCACTAAGTCCCATTGGAGCAACGTCACAAGTGGAGTTCCCCAAGGCTCAGTACTTGGACCACTATTATTTATTATATACATAAACGACATAGATATCGGCATTGACAGCAACATAAGTAAATTTGCTGATGACACTAAAATAGGAAGTGTTATCAAATCTGACGAGGACTCGGCAAAACTACAGGAAGATCTAAACAAATTTTTCGAATGGTCTGAAAAATGGCAGATGAAATTCAACGTCTACAAATGTAAAGTACTCAGTATAGGAGATGTAAACAGGGAAACCAGATACCAGATGAACAACGATGCCATAGAGAAATCCGACTGCTGCGAGAGATTTAGGAGTAATGATAAGTAGGAACCTTAAGCCAAGTAAACAATGTGTTTTTGCTCGTAACAAGGCTAATAAAGTACTTGGGTTCATACAAAGGAGTGTTAGTTACAAGATTCAGCGAGGTCACCCCAAACTGTATCTCTTGTGAGACCACACCTGATGGTTCAGTTCCCTGGTCACCGTGACACAGAATGGATATAGAATCCTTGGAAATTCAGAGGAGAATGACAAGACTAATCCCGCATTAGGAACCTTGAGTATAGAGACAGGTTAAAGATCTAATTTGCACTGAGAGGACAGATGAGGGGCGACCTGATAGAGGTGTGGTATAAGGGAAGGCAGGCCAACAAAGGACATTACAAAGGTACCAAATTATCCAAACCAGGAGCAACCTGTAAATCATTTAACCAGACAAATTTAGATTTAGGCGTGAAATAGGTAAACACTGGTTTGGAAACAGAGTAGTGGATGAATGGAACAAGTTACCAAATATCATCATTAACTCGAATACGCTGAATTGCTTCAAACATAGGTTGGATGCTCATATGAGCAATAGGGGTTGGGTGTAAACGGGACTGCCCAGTATGGGCCAATAGGCCCGCTGCAGTTTCCTCCATTCTTATGTTCTTATGTTCTTATGAAGGGTAATCTCAAGAAACACATTCTTGGACACAGTGGTATAAAGGAGTTTGAATGTGAGGAATGTGGGAAATGTTTCTCCTGGAAGGATAATCTCAAGACACACATTCTTGAACACAGTGGTGTGAAGGAGTTTTAATGTGAGGAATGTGGGAAATGTTTCTCCCGGAAGGGTTATCTCAAGAAACACATTCTTGGACACAATGGTGTGAAGGAATTTGAATGTGAGGAATGTGTGAAATGTTTCTCCCAGATGAGTACACTCAAGACACACATTCTTGGACACAATGGTGTGAATTAGTTTGAATGCGAAGAATGTTTGAAATGTTTCTCCCGCAGCGGTCTTCTCAAACGTCATAAACTTGTTCATGAAAAAAACAGAATTCAATAAATGTTTGAATGACTTTAAAAGAAGGTAAATGTGACACACAAACTTGAATACAGTGATATACGTCAATATAAAACCACTTGAACAAACTCTGTGAATGTAGCAGTAATAAAGACAAGTGACAAATGCCACTTTTATAGATATTAAACACAAGTTATCTGCTCTTAAGATGTAAATTACTTCTACCATGGCCTTAGTGTAGACATTTGGTGTTGGTTAAATATCACTCATAATAATGCTCCATTTTGTTTCATCAGCCTTTTTAATAATGTTATTTACAGTACAGTAGTCAACAAAGGATAAACTTATCGTCTATGGGCTTAAAATATCTTCTTTACTGGATAAGTTGTGTTGAACAGAGATGAACTCTCATTTACTATAATTTGTGCATCAATAGTTGTGTCAACTATGTACGTCTGTCTTTATTTACACGTGACGTAAGTTTATCACAAATACGTACATTAACACAGGTAGTTAATCATCTTG